GTTTTCCTAAAGGTTCTGCAGCCTCTCGAGGATAAATACAGACGTCTCCATACCGATCCGCGAGACTCTACTAAACAGGCTCATGACTCGCGATACCAAGTAACCTAGGCTCTGATACCAACTTGTCACGACCCCAACCCTGGCCGTGATGGTGCCCAACACAATGCTAGGCAAGCCCGACCAATTAACATCTCACAATCTCTTTCTTTATAATTCAATACCAATTTTCGGGATTTAATACCAATTTAATATAAATAGAAGTATGAATTTAACAGATGAAATGTGCGGAAACCATAATCACGAAAAATCTCTGTAAAACAGCCCACTGATCCGGTGTCACAAGTCTGAGCCTCTAATACAAGGTTTCAACAATCTAATACAGAAATATGTCTAAAATGCGGAATAATAAGTGGAGATAGAAAGAGAAATTGGGTCTGCGAATGCCATGCAGCTACCTCGATAACTCCGATGAAAACAGAACGGTAGGAAAGCTCACTCTATGCCTCAGGAATACCTGTACCTGCACACATGGTGCATGGAGTAATGTAAGTACTCCGACCTAGTGAGTAATAACAACAAATAATGGCTGACAGTATGAAATCACGTAAATGCACTAAGCAGTTCTATATCAAAACAGTAAAATCATTTAAGCAGCAGTGAATGAGGAAATCATGTGAAATTCTTTAAACCAGGTAAAACAGATATAATCAGTACACATCAGCTCCTCAAGCATTTCAGTTCATTTATTCGTTCTTATCCTCAGTTCTCAATTCATATACTTCTCACGATAACCGAATCAATAAATGTATATACCACTGCGGCGTGCAGCCCGATCCATATATCGTTGTGGCATATAGCCTGATCTAATAATAATAGTCGACTGCGCTCACTGGGGGTGTGCAGACTCCGGAGGGGCTCCTTCAGCCCAAGTGCTATATAATTGTTGCGGCGTGCAGCCCGATCTATATAAGTAATTGTTGCGGCGTGCAGCCCGATCCATATCATATAAAATATCCTCACTATTGGGTCCTCTACCCCTCTCAGTCATTTAAAAATCAAAGCCTCTCGGGCATAATGTACAGTCGGGATCTCAGCCCTCATATCTCTTTCTATTTATGATTAACATTTCAAAAATCCGGTTCATATCATTTTTAAACAATTGGAAACCTGACTGAGGATATAAATTTTTTAACAAAATAGGTGAGGAAAACTAGTCAAAAATCCCCTAAGGGTTCTGCAGGTCGGCACAAGGCCCCAAGCATGGAAACAAGCCCAATTCATAATAATAAAGTATATGTCTCAATCAAAAATGTAGTAAAATATCATTCGGGATGGACCAAGTTACAATCCCCATAGCATTGGACCTCACGCTCGTCACACAGCATGTATCTCAACTTAGTATAGCACTACGTTGTGCAAATTCGGGGTTTCAAACCCTCAGGACATCATTTAAAATCATTACTCACCCCAAACTGGCCAAAACTCTAGCTCGCTATTCCCTTGCCTCTCAAATTGGCCTCCTCGTGCGTCTAATCTGACCAAAATCACACAAACATCGATGAAGCTCGATTTCTAAAAGACGGGGTATTAGCCATACGTATCTGAGACTTGCCCCTTAATGGTACTACAATGATCCACTACTCTTAGGTAACTTCAATCTACAATACAACATTCAATAGGGCCAATATTAGTAATAATTCCCATAACTTATGTCATTTAGGCCTGTTATCAAACATCTTGTAGGCATAGATATTTATACCTCATAACTATAGTATTGGTTCCTCCAACTATCACCATTAACCAACAATTTCATCCCACCATGAGTCTTTACCAATTTATACTCCTAACATCACATGTGTGATTAACCATTCACACCCAACCAACAAAATTTCATCAACTAATCACCTTTAAATCCCTACCATGATCATGTATTTAAATTGGAAATTTATGGCCTCCAATCACCATACCCCAAGTTCTAATGTATATATCATACATAAATAATCACCATAGAGTAGTTGGAGATGATAGACATACCTCTTGTAGTAAGAATTTTAAGAATCCTCACTTGTGGTGTTCTTGATAAATTTAAGGATTTTAAGGAAAATCTAAGGATTTTCAAGATCAATCCATGTTAATATAAGTGTTTAGGAGTAGTAATCAACTCAAAATACCCCAAAAATCTTACCTTGGATCATAGAAATGAAGAGTAGGACGGATTCCTCTTGAGAGAGCAAGCCCTTGCTCCAAAAATGATTTGGGAACTCTCTATACCCAGTCTTGGGGTATTTAGGGGCCTGCTACTACCGCGGTCGAGCACCTGGGCGCGCTAAAGTAGCGCGACGAAGGCAGAAAACTTCGCAATATGCGCGTTGACTAGCGTGATCGCGCATCTGGGCGAGCTAGTGACACATGCCTAGTAAAATGGTCATAACTTTCTGTATGTACCTCCGAATGACGAACAGTTTATTGCGTTCGAAACTAGACCCAAAGGGCTTTAATTTGATAGGTTGTGGATAACACAACTCCTTATATAACTAGAGATATGATTGTCCAAAGTGAGGTCTTGTGCGTACTCATTTACAACTTTCGTCTATTATGAAATTTTCCCATTTCAAAAGTTCCCGTTAGCCATGCGAAATCACCCCGACGCCCCCAAGACCTCAACAAAAAGCACTAACATATCTTAAAATATCATCCAAACTTGTTCCAATCATAAAAATGCCTCAACTAACACCAAAATCATCGAATTCAAGCCTAAGTTCTTTTAAAACTTATAAAACACGCATTCGTTCAAAACCCAACCAAACCACGTCTGAATGACCTGAAATTTTTGCACACACATCCCAAATCACCTAACGAAGCTACAACAACTTTCGGAATTATATTCCGACTCCCGGATCAAAATCTCACCTATCGACCGGAAATCGCCAAAATACTGACTTCGCCAATTCAAGCCTAATTCTACACCGGACCTCCAAAATCACTTCCGATCACGCTCCTAAGTCACGAATCACCTCCCGGAGCTACCCGAACCATCGTAATTCACATCCGAGCCTCTAACACATAAAACAACTTCTGGTTGACTTTTCCAAACTAAGCCTTCCTTAAAGAGACTAAGTGTCTCATTTCTTATCAAAACCATTCCAAATCAACTCGACTACATATGGCACGGATAACGAAGTGTATAGAAACAGAAAATGGGAGAAACGGGGCGGTAACTCATGAGACGACGGGCCGGGTCGTCACAATACCAACACGTTCTAATCAAAATTCATTTCCAAACCTTATGAACAATTTTAGAAAATAATTTTCTTCAAAAATTCATTTCTCGGGCTTGGGACCTCGGAATTCGATTCTGAGCAAACGCCCAAGTCCCATATTTTCCTACGGACCTTCCGGGACCGTCAAATTATGGGTCCGGGTCCGTTTACCCAACATATTGACTGAAGTCAAATTAACTCATTTTATAGCCAAAATTTATCATTTTCCACAGACTTTCACATATAAGCTTTTCGGCTATGCACCCGGACTATGCACACAAATCGAAGTGATATTAAAAGAGGTTTTTAAGGCCTCAAAACGCAAAATTTTATTTTAAAACAAGTGATGACCTTTTGGGTCATCACACCTAATTGTATTCTTTTGTATCTTTCACCTTTTTTTTTTGGAGTTTGAATCGCGTCCAAGTATCTCTTAAGAATAGACATTTGGATTTGGTCATTCACGTGATTACCAGAACACTATTGCAGCATTTCATAAAAAGATGTAATATGACTGTAGATGTTAGTATAAATGGTATATATTTAATGGCGGATGATGCTTAATTTCGACCAAGGAATTATTCCCAAAATCACACCTAAAAAAAAAAAAAAAAAACTCAATGTTCATGAGTGAATTGAAGGCCTGAGTAATCAGTACTCTAGATATAGACTCTTGTCGAAGTATCACATTATTCATGATGTTAGGGAATAATATGTCATATGTTCAGTCCACATTGCTTAGTTGTCAAAGCCAATGATTCCAAGTGCATGTCAATGCGCCTTTGGTGAACTTCATCCGCAATGGCACCTAAAAGCAGTAGCATTGATGTTGTTGAAAGATTGACAGCCTTGAAAAAATATTAGCAACATTTTCTTGAAAATATTTGTTGCCTTTTAACAGAATGTTATTCCTTACATTTTTCCTACAAGTACTTAAAAAGAAAAGTTGCATAGTAGCATAAAGTTTCTGTCCCCTTGCATTTCTGGTTCATAGACATAATAACCTCTTTTATAAAATGCTACTCACACTTGTTGCATTTAAAGAAGAAAACTAGCTTACCAATTATCTCATTTTTATCCTCAGTTTACACCAGCAATATGTTGCCAAGGAGTCGAACTCTTCCTGCTAGAATATATTATGGCGAAGTGAGTAATTACAGTACAATTAAGAATTTCACCGGTTCAGTTCAGTTTGAAACTTCTTGGCTAAATCTTGGCACCAGTTTCAAGGAAAAAATATTAGTTCAGTTTGTTTGAAACTGCATATTAAAATGGCTACTTTCCTTATCGCTGAAAAATCTATTGACATTCTTGGCTAAATTTTGAAGTCTGTTAAACTTTTCTTTAATCTAACTTGACTTGTTGAAACTTATTTTAGTGGTCGATCTATCTTGACTTTTAAGTGATGGGCAATAATATTTTTTTTTGACAGTCTGAATTTCAGAATCGTCAAAGTTCAAGAGAAACAGCAGATAATACATTTAGGATGTTGGAAAGGAGCAGCATGGTCGGGTTAGATGCTATGATAGATCGGTGACGACAAGCTCTCTGAAAAAAGATGAAGAAATCACCAAGCTTAAACAACAACATGCCAACGAAATAACTTCTCTGAAGGAAGAAATGAAGGAAATGATGAGAGAAGAAATGCTATAATTTTTTAGTCAATTGGTGAAAAACAACCCTGGACTGGATTTTCATGATATACAAGGGTGTGTTGGATCTATTATTCCTTCACCGATTGATGTAAGTAGTGCACGAGCTATGAGAGGCCATAATCTACCACATTCTTCTGGCTCAACTCATGCCCCGAGTCTTGAAAAGGTATTTATATTTTACCAAATAGTATAATGATCGGGGTAAATTTGACCGGATAGTATAATGAAGATAAAATATAAACAATATTTAAAGGTAGAGGGTATACCTGGCCCTTTTCTCTTCTTATTAAATTAAGTGATTGTTGCGATTATAGAAGGAGATAGGTAAAATATATGTTAATTCACATTTTTGCTTCTCTTTCACTTGTATATCTTTTTTGTGTTTGATATTGTTATGCTATAGTAGTGAAATAAAATCCCATTAGATCTTAGTAAGATATAACCATTGCATACTATATATTTGTTTCTTTCTCATTTTTAATTTCATTTTGAATGTGTAGGAAAATACGGGTGATGCAATTGGAAATGGTGGCCACAAATCAATTTGATTCATTAAAGTGAATGGTGAACACCTTTTGAACAATTGTGATATTTATTTTTATTTTATATTGATACTATAAATATGAATACATTTGATTTTGTAGAGGTCTTTGCTAGTGAACTTCTTGAACCAACAGTGCTTTATTACTATAGATAGTACGCAAAGTATGTTTCTAATTTGTTGAAGTTTATTTCAAGTATATGCATTTGAATTATTTTTATTCTATTGCTTATTATCTAAATTTAATGCTTGAGATCATATATACTGGAAATAAATGTGGACAGAATTTAATGTAAACATATATAATTTTTTAACCACAAAATTGTGGCTTCGTAGTATAGAAAAAATTGTCACGCTTAGAAAGTGTGGCCATAGGAATTATTAATTTGGTGTTGTTAATGATAAATGTTTCTCTAGAAGCCACACTTTATAAGCGTAGTCTATAACGTGACAAAGATCACCCTTCAAATGTGTAGCCTTATGTCATAAAAGCGTGGCTATATGAGAAAATATAAGCGTGGCCTTTGTACTGTACATGCCATATTTTTAAAGTGTGGCTTCTAAGGCAACACCTACAAAGCGTGGCCAATAATCAAAGGTCACGGTACTTTAGGCCACCCCCAAAAAGTGTTGCCTTTAATCAAATGCTACACTTCTTGACATTTTAGGCCACACTTCTCAAGGGTGGTTGTAAGGCTAAAATGTTGTAGTGGGCTATGTTATTCAAACTCCATGCCAAATGGAAAAAGAATCAATCAAACAAGCATAAGGAAGGAAAGACAAATCAATGCTAAAGATTCTCAAGAGTGCAAGGAAGGAAAGAGAGCCAATCAAGGAAACTTTACGGAAGCTCTAAACAAGGTTAATTGGAGGAGCCAAAACTTCAATCTTGCCACACCTCTTAAGCTAGATTTATGAGGCTAACCTTGAGTCCTACTCTTAAAAGACTATACCTCACAAGGAAACACCTCCACTTAATAATCTTTTGCGATCCCAGAAAAGAGAAATCAAAAGATTCATCGAGTACTATTAAAGAAGAAGTAGAAGGACAAGGAAGCTCACGCCACTTAACATCTATTTCTATACCTTTCTAGTTCTTAGTACAAAAACTGTATTCTTGAGTCTACAAGTGTCTAAAAGATAGGAAGAGTTAGAAAACAAAACAAGAGTTGTGCCAACACTAGATAAATATTGTTGCTAAATATCATTGGTGGTAAACGTACTAAAACCATCACTGTTGTAAAGATTTATTGAAGATCTAAGAGAACCCTTTTGACCCAAGAGAACTGGACGTATGTATCACACCGGTATTGAACCAATATAAAATTGTTGTGCCTCCTTTTAGTTTTCATTCTGCACAATTTATTTCTGCTACAATTGATCCTACTGTGAAGTTTAGTCGACTAATTCCTTTCTTAGTCAACTAAATTTTAAAATCGGTTAATTCACTCCCTCCCCCTCTTGTACTTTCACCAAGTTTTACGGATTCACTCATATCTACTATGTCTGACGCTTATCCCACAATCGGTGTGTATCTCGGCTACTAACAACCACCCAACGCAACATGTGGGAGTAGAACTAGGGATGTCAACGTTAGGTTTAGACTATAAATACCTCTAGTCCTCTCATTCGTATATTCATTTTGATTCCGCTCTACTTAATTACTCATTATTATAAACTACCGCATTTCGCTCTTGTCAAGCTGGGTAGTTGATCCTTACTTTACGACATTGTGACTCGCAAACAATCTCAATAAGATTATTCTTTCCTTTACTTGCCTACTTTAATCGCATTATTATCATTGTTTGTTACTTATTAGTCTAGTCACACGATTCATTCAACTATGCTCTGATTTGAATTGATTGTTAGTGACCTCATTAAATATAAATATATTTAATTGTTTACCTAAAACTATTTTTGGGTTAAACAATTTAGATGGATATTTCTTAAATGATAAAATTGAAGTAGTGACTGTTGCGGAAGCCAAATGTATATAGTGTGAATAAGTCACAACTACTATACCAAAAATTANGACTTTTGTGCAATGAGTGTAATAAACCTTCAATTGAATGACCACTAATAAAATTGAAAGACAATTTTCTTTAATAGGTAGTTTTATTGCCACATAAAATATAGAAATTTCACAAGAGATGTATTTATTTGGGAGCAGCTGCAGCTTGAAAGCGAGCTTGGAAATGGGCAAATAACGCATCTTTTGAAGGTAGATTATCTTTTACTTGGCTGCAGTTAAGGTACTCTTCTCTCCAAACACAATAATTGGAAAACTTTTCACTTGTCACCAAAACTACACCAGAGGCTTCCTCAATAATTCCCATCCAAAATGCCATTAAATTAGCAGCTATATCAGCAAATCCAATTTTGTCTCCAACAAAAAACTTCTTATTCTTGAGCTCATTATCAAGAATTTTCAGCAGCTCATTACATTCCTCCTTAGCTTTGTCTGACTCCTCTCCTGTCCCAAAATAAACTTTTCCCATTGCTGGCAAGCACTGCAAAAACACTCAAAATTTAAGTTCCAATAGATTTATTCAACTCTACAAATAGAAATATATAGCGTGAAAATGAATGGGGTTTTTGAAGTTTTATGTACTAGTGTTGTAAAAAAATATTTATACATTCAGATCACTTATAAGATAATTAAATGTAAATTTATATTATAGTCTTTGAGTTTAACTTATATATACCATGGTGAAGAAAATTTTGTAGGTTATCAGGTCATCCAAAAGATATCTATAGGTTATATGCTATAACAAGTTAATATAACCCAATAGTTATAACTGTATTGTTAATGTGACAAAAGAAGATTTTTACACAATCACTGTATAAAACTCAAATCCAAATAAATTCACCTTCTCGTCAAGGAACTTAGCCCAGAAACGAGCTATAGCTCGATCATAAGGGTCTTCTGGCAAGATGGAAGGGCCTTCAAAAGTCTCATCGATGTATTCAAGAATGACCATAGACTCAGAAATGGGTTTTCCATTGTGAATTAGCACTGGTATTTTCTTGTGAATAGGATTGGATTGAAGAAGTAGAGGGCTCTTGTTTTGTGGATCTTCTACTATAAGTTCATATTCGACGCCTTTAATCTTCAGAGCCCACTCAACTCTGTGAGTAAATGGGCTCAAGGAAACACCAAGCAATTTCATTTCTGCCATCTCAAAACTTTGGATATGGTGGTTTTCAATCTTGATCAATTGTAGCCTTATTTTTATAGAGCAAAAGATACAATGAAGTGTCTTCGCAACCAAGCGAATGAAATGACTTCTCTGACAATTATGTTGCCTAATTTAATGCTTCGATATGGACCGACGACTTATCCTCAATTATAAGTCTAAAGAATATGAGAGGTACTTTATAATTTTTGTAATTAGTATCTAGTATTCGAAATTTACTAATTCAATTTACTATTCGGATTCGCGTCGATGCTTCGCACCCTTGATGGTTAGGGGTAAGTACTGCTTGCAGGTTCTGTTATTTACGTCGGTGCTCCATTTTGAGGGTAACTCTTACCTAATGTTTGGATCAATTTCGGGAATCCAATTTTTATTTTTTCCAGAATTCAGAATTTTTGTATGAAGTAGTAGAAGAATATTTATAATATTATTTTTCCTTTAATATGAAAAAGTTTGCTTTTCTACAAAAAGTACTCAATAAATTTTCTTCAAAAAATCTATAAGTCTATTATTGTTAAAAGTGGGGAGGCCTAAAAATTGGGGGTCTAAAACACTTTGCCTTAGACTTCGCCATAGAACAAGTAAGATTTTTCGCCACAAATTTAAATCTACCCCTTAGACATATAAAATTTATTAAGTTCAATCCATACAAAATTTGGATTGAATCTTAATTTTATTTGGGTTAAATAATTAATTTGGGCTTTGCAAGTTAAATTAGTCCATTTATTTTTTTCAAACCCCATATCCATTTCATTTTAAGGCCTAGACTCATGCCATGTATCAGGTTACATGGCATATCCAGTCAAACTCAAAGCCAACAAGAAGACACCACGTGCGAAATGATGTGGCAATCCCAGTCTAAAATAGTGACCAATCAAGAGTTGTCAGGTGTCTAAAATGACATGTCTTGGCCAATCACTATCAAGCTTATCATCACATAGTTTATGTGATAAGTTTGATGGCTCACATGAGCCAATCGGAATCAAGCAAGAGAGTTCATATGTAGCCAGACTGTCCATCCTCTACCATTATAAATGGAGGGGTTACATAACTCTCTGAAAACATTCAGAGTTGGAGAAGAGCTTCCGCAATTGGTGAAGACATCCACAAACAAAAGATCAATCACCAAGTGCATAGTTCTTCAACAAAGGAGTGGTCAACGGAGTTCTTCCCGGAGATCAACCTGAAACATTGAAGTGCTTCTCGACGTTCTTGGCGATTAATTACATTATAAGGAGGTATGCGTCTTTCGATATTCGAGAAAGACGTTTCTCAAGCCTTCGAATTATGGAGAATTTCTAAAAGGAGAATCAAGGGATACATAGAATTGTACTCACAAATATTTATCAATAAAATCTCTTTTCTTCATATTTTTTATTGCAGTTTATTTTTCATACTACGAAAAAAATTTGTTATGAAAAAGGTTTGACACGCCCAGCAGGACAAGTTCTACCCTTCGTTTCTTCCTCTTGCAAGTTGAAACTACAAATTTCAGATCTACTACTGCAATGGCCTTTCAAAAGTGTGATGATGTTCCATGCAAGGATGCTACCCCTGCCGCACCCGTTGAGCTCAGTCATGTTGTCCTAATCACTCGAAGCAAGTTCTCCTATGACATCCTCAACCGCAATCTCTAGGGGCAACACCCCATTCTCGCTATTTGACGAACTTTCTCAAATAGCCTCCAACCTTGGTGGATTTGAGGATTTGGTGGATTCTCCTGTTTCAACGCCTTAATGACTGACGCAACTAATGTGGACGAAAAGTTTTCCATGATGGAACATACTATAGAAGTCTTAAAGAAATCTGTTGAACATAAAGACCTTCAAATCGCTCAACTCATGAAATATTTTGAAGCCTATGCACCAGAAGAGTCAAGCCATGTCCCTCCTCGTTCACCTGTTTTCACTTCACAGAAAATGGCTGTTGAGGAATGGCTTGCCAAGTTCAACACTCAAAAAGAAAATCAATCCATTTCAGTTGCGGCATTATCTGCCCAACAATTGCAAGATAGGAT